TGTCGTGCTTTCTGTTGTTTTTGAGATTTCCTAATATTACTACGGGCAATTTCGTGTTGTTTTGGTAACTGATTGTTTGAAATTGTAAAATGTTGAGATTGAGAAAGTAATTGTTTACAATCACGTGGTGAGATATTTGGGAGATATTGTTGAGTGTTTAAATAAGAATATATATTTTGATATTGAGTTAAATCCATTTTTGCTAGGGCACCGACTACTTAGATTGTATTGAGTTTATCATCAGAATTTCAATAAATTTTATAATTTGTAAAAATTAAATCCTGAACAAGGCGTCTGTATTTTTATTTTCCTTTCCAGATCTGTGTTTAATTTCAAAATTATAGGTTTGTAAACGTAATATCCATCAAGCTCGTCATCTTTTTAGGGGACTTGTTTGTAATCAGGTAAGTGCAGAATGATCAGTGAGAATAACAAAAGGTTTTATTCTCAAATAGTGATGAAAATACTCAACAGCCCAGATTACTGTTAAATATTCCAATTCGGTTGCAGAGTAATTTTTTTGTGCACCTTGTAAACTTCTACTGGTATAGGCAATGACTTGTTCCAAGCTATTTTCATTTAATTGGAATAGGACTGCGCCAAGTCTTTCAGCAGATCCATTGGTTAATAAATAAAATGTTTTAGAGAAATCAGGGTGTGCAAGTATAGGAGAAATGGTTAATTTTTCCTTTAAGATTTCAAATGCACGTTGGTGCTCACTTTTCCATTTAAAGATTTTATCCTTTCAAGTTAGTTGGCATAGAGGTCGAGCAATTTGAGAAAAGTCCTTTATAAATTTGCGATAATAGGAAGCTAATCCCAAAAAGCTTTGTACTTTGGTAAAATCTTTAGGTCGAGGGAAATTTTGAACTTTATCAATTTTTGCAGGGTCAGTAGAGATTCCTTGGTCACTGACAATATGTCCAAGAAATTCAATTTGTCGTTGTAGGAAGTGACATTTATCAGGTCCTAGTTTAAGTCCTGCAGCTCGTAATCGGTCCAATACTTCATTTAATTTTAATAAATGTTCGTCAAATGTTTTGGAATAGATATTGATGTCATCCAGGTATACAATGACACCTTTATATAATAACCCATTAAAGACTTGATTCATAAGTCATTGGAAAGTTGCAGGGGCATTGGTAAGTCCAGAGGGCATTACAGTGAACTCATACGTTCCTTGTTAAACAATAAAAGCAGTTTTCTCTTGGTCACTAGAGTTCATTTCAACTTGCCAATATCTACTAGCTAAGTCGAGAGTAGTGAACCATTTTGCTCCTTGCATAGCACTTAACATGTCATCTACTCGAGAGATGGGATAAGCATCCTTTTTGGTAATAGCATTAATCTTTCTATAATCAACACAAAGTCGTTGTTTCCTATTTTCTTTTTACAACAACTACAGGAGAGGCCCAGGGGCTAAAAGATTTTACAATTAGTTCCTTTTGCAGTAGTTGCTTGATTTCTTCTTCGAGAAATTTTTCCTCTACAGGATTAGTTCGATAAAACCTTTGTTTAATAGGGGATTCGTCATCAGTATTAATTTGATATTGAATTATATTAGTTCGTCCCAACTGACTAAAATCATTTGCAAACAAATCCTTATTTTTATTAATGAGTTCATCAAATTTTTCTTTTTGTTTGGAACTCAATTTTTCAATATTTAATTCGGCTTTAGCCAAGGAGTCTCCCATCATTACAGGGACTTCCTCTAGACCATCATCGTCATTTTCATTATTGTTATCATCATCAGTTTCAGTATCAATGCTGTCACTGATTTCTTCGTCAGTTGATTCATTGTCAACTTCACTATCCTTTTCATTTATCTCAGAGGCTAATTCCTCATCAGTGTATTCCATACAATTCTCAAAAATATCATTATCATTGTCATCATCAATATCACTATCGTCACCAGAAGTACTTCCTTCTAATTTAATTTCACTTTCATATTCACTTTCAGAAGAGTTACTGTTCTCATCACTAGTGGTTTTAGGAGTTTCTATAATATTTCCTTTCACACAGGAGGCAAGTAGAGTTAAATATTTATTCCTCTATTTTAAGGTTAATTCCTGGTCTTGCCAATTGTAATTACAATTAGCCTTCAAAATATGTTGTAAAATTTGTAAATTTATTTTACATATAACTTATTTTTTTAACATATTATAGAATTTACATATAAATATATATTTTTATTCATCAGAAAATTTAATTAAACATAGATTTACAGAAATATCACATGACTTCTGGAAATTTACACTTGAAAATTTTAATTTTTTAACTTCAGCTGAGATTTAGGTGACAGGGAGTGATTTTCTACTAAGATATTTCTAAGATAGATCGAAAGCTCTGGTTTTTGGTTATAAGATAATATATATTTCATTACTATAGTATCAATATTCGCAAAAAAATTCATGTTTAAATTCAAATGTTCGTGAAAATTTATGCTATAATTTTCTCATAAATTTTCACGGACGTTTGAATTTAAACGTGAATTTCTCCACGAATATCGATGCCATAGTAATAAAACATAAATCATCGTGTAGTCAAAAACCAGGGCTTTCGATCTATCTTAGAAATATTTTAGTAGAAAATCGCTCCCTGTCACCTAAATTTCAGCTAAAGTTAAAAAATTAAATTTTTTAGGCGTAAATTTCCGTAGATTATGTGATATTTCCGTAAATTTACACCTAATTAAATTTCCTGATATACCATTAACACTATACTTAAAGAAACTATACAATTGACAGCAAAACAAATAAAAGCAAAAGGAAAAAAGAACACTAAACACATGACACTTGACTCGATAAAATGAACCTTGGATCAAGAACCGGCTTTTTTGATAGAAACAAATACCACATTAGACAAATCAGCTAAATTATGTTTCCTCAATACAATAAAAGGATACACATCTAAATCATTAATAAAGAAAATAAAATCAATTACAAAGTCTAAAACATCAGCAAAAACAATTAACACTAACATATAAACATTTATTCAAACCAAACTAGAACAAACCTGACATCACCAAATCCAAAAGATTCTAGAATAGGAAGAAAATCAAAACATAACAAGAAAACAAAAAAGAATTACAACTACCAGAGCCCCCAAAAAACCAAATAGAAACAAAACAAAAAATAATAAAAATAATAAACATAAATCATATAAACAATTATACAATTCCTCTCTCAAACACGTAGTAACTTCATATAACTTACCAACCATGCACAGAAACATTCTTTTTTACAAACACTATTATAATTATATTAACTGATGGAGTTTCAACCATCAATTCCCACTTTGTGGATGTCAATGGGTCAACTCATCATCTAGATTAAATTAGTAATAATTTAGTTTAGAATAGGTAGTTAGAATGCAACATGTAAATTCAACTTTGGTTTTATTTAATAAAGTGTCTAACAAGACTCTGATGGTTAAAAAAAAAAACTAAATCGCAAAAACGTTACTAAGTAAAATTATAGTTAAGAACTATATACACCTACTAATCAAATTTTAGATCTAAAGCTCACAAATTTAAGGAAAGCCAAGCATTTAAATTATAAACAGATATTCAAAATTTAGATGTCCCTCTTTCCTTTGATTTGTGAGATTTAGGTCTAAAATTTTTTCAGTAAATGTATTTAGTTCTCAGCTATAATTTTACTTAATAACGTTTTTGATGTTTTACTAATAAAAAAAGTAAAAACGATCGATTTTTTCTTTTTTATTATCAAAAATCATTCAAAAATCGCCTAAAAATCGGATGGCCGATTTGCAAATCAGACAGCCGATTTTTAGGCGATTTGAAGATCGGACGGCAGATTTTAGGCGATTTTTGATCATTCGACCAGTGCACATTATTTAATTTTTACGTGAATCAGGATGAAGTTAAGATAACTATTCTTCATCAATTACACAATTAATTGCCTTTGTTTGATTATAGTTGATCAATTCAATCCATCTAGAGTGAAGGTACCTATACTATTATTATGTTAAAATTAATAATAATAATATTATATCTCCTGTTATTGAACTTTACAATGTAATGTATGTAACAATATTTGCAATTGCTTTATTGTTCCTCCTTCTTTCCAAGCTCAAATCTCAAATCTCTAATACTCAACTGCATCCAGTTGAAAGACTTGGATATTAAACAAGGTGGAAACACATAAAAGTGATTCAAGTTCTTTCATACTGAATAAGCACAAACGTATAAACAATCTTTGATTATGTCATCTTGTAATCAATCATTTATATATAAATTCAAAATATAATAACATTAAAAATAACACCAAGATAACATGATAACATTAAAATGACAAAAAAATCCATATATTTTCGTTTAATCAGCCAAACAAATAGTTTTAGGATTAGTAAAAAATGAAATTGAGTATTCTCCTCCTTCTCTTCCAAGACCTAAAATAATAAAAATAATAACAAATAATAAATTATAATAAAAAAACAACAAAGATTTAATAAAAGGATTAATCACTTACCACTTTTCTTCATTCCACCAAAAGGCATTGCTAAATCTCTTATAAGCCAACAATTAACCCAACATGTACCAACATGAATACTTTCAGCTACCCGACGTTGACGACTTCCATTTTGAGTCCAAATAGAACAAGATAAGCCATGTTGACTATCATTAGCATATTTAATAACTTCATCTTCGGATTCGAACGGATGAACAGTAACAACCTATATGAATAAAATAGCATAAATAAAGTGTAAATAAGTAGAATATTGATATAATAATTTATATATCAAATAATGCTTACAGGTCCAAAGATTTCTTCATGAGCTACTCTACTAGACACCGGGATGCTAATAATAATAATAATAATAATAATTAATTAATTAATTAATTAATTTATTATTAAAAAAATAAATATGTAAAAAATGTGTGGAAGCTATGTATAAGAAAATAAAAAATATAATAAATATATAATAAATAATAAATGAGAAATAAATAATATATTACTTTGTAATAACAGTAGGTTCAACAAAATATCCCTCACTATAATCTCCAGTCATTTCTTTTCTTTTTCCTCCACATTTAATTACACCACCTTCTGATTTAGCCAATTCAATATAACCCAATACTTTTTCCATATGTTGTTTACTATTTAAAGCACCTATTTGAGTATTAGGATCATTAGGATTACCCACAATCAAATTTTCCGCTTTATGAACAAATGATTCAAGAAAGTTGTCATAAATTGATGAATGAACAAATATACGAGATCCACATAAACAGATCTAACAAACAATCGATTAAACAATTATTTAATTTCAATTTCAAATTTGTATTAATAAAAAGAAATGATAATTACCTCTCCCTGATTACTAAAAGAAGAAAGGATGCTTGTTTCCACAGCTTTTTCGAAATCACAATCCTCAAAAAGAATATTGGCATTTTTACCACCTTATTATATTTAAATATTATTATAAAAAATAAATAAATAAATAAATAATATAAGTAAATAAATAAATAAATAAATAAATAATAAATAAGAATTTACCTAATTCCAATGAAACTTTTTTGAAAAAAGGGGCTGCAGCGATATTAACTTTTTTTCCAGTTTCAGTCCCTATTATTTGTTAAAATTAAAATAAACATTGATTTAATTAAGTTAATTGATAATTAAATATAAAAATAATAATTAATTGAAATATGAAATAATATACCTCCTGTAAAAGAAACAAGTGGAACATCAGGATGAGAAATAAGCTGATGACCAGTGGTAGCTCCTATATTTATATGTGGATTTATTATCACTAATTATATTAAAAAATCTATTTATCAAGTTAATTACTAACCATAACCAAAAATAATATTAATAACTCCATCAGGTAATTTTGCTTCTTTTAAAACAGAACAAAACACTATATATATATATATGTAATAACAAAGAATATCAAACATAATAGAATTCATAATTATTGTTACCAAATATTTTTATCAAATAAATTATCAAAAGAAAAAAAAATATTGAAATAAATATTATCTACTCACTATTTGCAGTAACACTTGCTAATTCACTTGGTTTACAAACGCAAGTACAACCAGCTAAAAATGAAAACAAAGTAATAATAATATAAATAATAAATAATAATTAATAATAATAAATAATAATAAATAATAATTTACCTGCAATACACGGTGCAATTTTCCATGTTAAAATGTAAAGAGGTCTGTATCATAATAAGAATTATTAATAAAAATATCTAGAATCATTCTAATAAAGGTAAATTTGTATTTTTATTTACAAGTTCCACTATTTAAAAAAAGTAATTAAGAAAAAAAAATTAAAAAAAAATATCACAATAAAAATATAAAAAAATAAAAAATAATATTAAAAATATAAATATATATAAAATACCGGAGTAATTAACGCAGCGACACCAGCGGGTTCTTTTTGAACATAATTGAAACATTTTCCTTCCATAACATTAGCTTTTTCTTCCTCATGTAAAATATAACCAGCAAAAAATCTAAAATTATATACGGATCTAGTGATATCAACATTAGTAGCAAAAGTAATAGTTTTTCCTTGATCTTGAACTTCAGCTGAAGCAAATTCTTTAAGTCTCAATTCAAGAGCATCAGCTATTTTATACAACATTTGTGCACGTTTGACTCTAGGTGTTTTTGACCATTTAGGGAACGCATTTTTAGCTGCTTCTACTGCTAAATCAACATCTTTTTGAGTGGAATTTGGTATTTTCGCATGAGCCTGAAAAATTTAATATCAATTAATCTTATCAAATAATTTTATTCAAT